TATATACTTTTATGTACACACATGTATATACATATATGTATTTATACACATACACACAGATCACATGTATGGTTGTCTCTGTGTGTACCGAGATAGGTTTGTAGGTGTAGATATGAAGACATACAGGAAGATAGCGATTACAACAGCTTCCTCCTTCATCCTGGTGTCTTGAGTTGTGTTCCTGAAGAAGCACTGAGGAATGTACATGCTGGTCAGCATTTACAACCTCTCTAGTGGCATATGGCACCTCACGCTAGCCACAGCCTACGCGCTTGGCGGGAAGCGGAGTTCGCTCAAGGAGTCATAGTTTCAACATGTCGAATTCAGGTTCAAAGGACTCCTTGCTCGAGGCCTTCAACCCATAGTCTAAAGCCCAAACCTCAGGGTTCGGGTTCAAGGTTTAGGGTTGAGGGTCTCGCCTCCGAATCTAGGCCGCCGTGCCCAAAGGCTGTAAGCTACAGAAGTCTCTTGGGCTGTTCTGCACCGTTTCGTTGGACCCGTGGGTTCGGAGATGCAAGGGTCCTGCCCTTAGGATTTATAGGGATAGGGGGGTCGGGGGACTAGGTAGGTTGGCGAAGTGTAGGGGCCCTTCGTACGTCGAAACCGACTGTTAGAGCTACGGAGTTACTACTAAGTCCCCGGATCTCTCAAGTAGTTGCTGGTGGCCACCCCTGAACTTTTGAAGTCCTGCCCTCCGTGGCCTTGGTGCACAGCGGGAGTCTGAATTTCTAGTTATATTCAAGCAAACCCTAAACCTCAAATCCTAAACCCTAAACCCTAAGCTGTCTTTTGCTGCTACTCCTGCAACGGACCTTTAAGCCCCCCATATTCAGCTCCACAAAACCCTGACAGACACCCTTATAGGAACCTTAGAACCCCGCTCTAACGGTTGATGATATAAATCCTGCAGTACCCATAATAAGGAATAGGGGTTTAGGGTTTAGGGTCTAGGGTTTAGGGTTTAGTTATACCATAATTCCCATAGTTTAGGATCCTTAAGGTATTGCAAGGTTTATACCATCAACAGAATCATTAAGGCCCCTGTATTAGCTGCGGAGATTGCCTTGAATTCTGTGCTTGCAGGTTGGAAAAGTAGGACCTCGTGGATCACTTGGGGGGTGGGGGACTTGTTGATTAGGTAATACGTAGAGTTATATCTGTACCCTAGAGGGCAGCCTAACTAAGGAGGTTAAGATACCTACAACTACATAAAAGTTCTGTATAAAATACTTACATACTAAGTACTAAGTGGCCTGACCAACGAGGCCTTTGGGCAAAAACGTGTATCGGGTGTAGGGTTTTCTGACAATACATACTTAGCAATACCAAGTCAATACCATGGAAGGTCTTGGAGTTTAAGGGTTTAGGGCTGATTGGGGCAACGGGGGATGAATCCAGTAGTCCCTCTTGTCTAACCGCCGGTTTAGGGGTTTTGGGTATAGGGTTTAGGGTTTAGGGCTTTAGGGTTTAGGCTTTAGGGGTTTGGGGTTCAGGATTTAGGGTCTAAACCCTAAGCCCTAAACCGCTGTACTCCCGAAGAGAGCAGCCATGGCCCTGTCCGCCTTCCATCCTCCTTACATAAGCAGCCTTGTTCAGTGTTCACGACAGTATATACAGAAATACTATCCCTCACCTACACCCCCAAAAGTAAGTAAAATTATGTCCCGACACCTATAAAAGGCTGTTATTCTCCATACTTTCGTAGTGTTCCTTGGGAGAAACACCCCAAACCCATATGTCGCTTGCATACTCTCAGGAGCTGGATAGGCAACCTTTAACTTTTGTCGGCTCGTACATCCTTGGACTGGGGTACTCAACCTCTGAGTAAACCTATAAACCCTAAACCCTATAAACCCTATATAAACCCTATAAACCCTATAAGCCCTAAACCCTATAAGCCCTATCTCAATCATCAGCAGATGGTGGGGGATCGAAGACTTGGATTTAGGAGTGTAGGCTTTCTGGCGCATACGGACACCCGAAAAATGATCCGAGCACTCTATCTGGACTGCGGATTGCGATGGCCATCTTTGGTTGCTTATCGACTTTGTGACTATGGGATCCTAACCATGGAATAGATTTTCCAGCAGAGGTTCTTCCAGCGCTTAGGTAGGAAGCTATCGCAGATATTGAGCGGGCTGTGTGCGATTATACAGGGACTACCCTTAACCCTAAGCCCCGTTTGTAGTCTGTCGGGATTTTACAAGACTATCCGGGCTCCGGGTCTCGGGCTAGGCCGCTTGGTTGCTTCAGCGATCAGAAAATCGGTGACAAGCTATTTAGGGGCCAGGGTTGTGGTGGTAGAGAGGTTATCAACGATTTTCACGCTATGATAAGCACTATCATTATTATTGCCATTGGCGTTATTACTGAGTCTTGTTATCGTTGAATGGGCTGCCCACGGGTTGCTTCAGTTGTGTACATGTGATTTCCGCTGGGCTTGCTGTGGAGTCAAGCTCCGGGCTTTATGTCAACCCAGCTGAAATTCTTGGGATATCCGTGCTTCGGCACTCATAATTCTTCTACATGAGACAGGATGCGGCGAGATAGGGTGCAGAGGGCGCTCACGAAACCCTGCACGATACACCCCACCCCAGATCGCTAAACCCGCGACACCCAGAAACTGGGATTGAAACCCTCCAGAGGTCGATCCGGCACCCCAAACTGCAGTCCCTAGCCCATTGTTTGCCCGGTTTGGAGGTTAGGTGGATTTAAATGGCGGGTTTAGGGTTTGTGCGCCTGCGGGTTGAGTATTTGGGGCTTTAGGGCGGTGGGGTAGTGTTTCTACAGGACGTTTGACAAGCTCAACAAAAAAAGCCCGATGCTGCCTTCGCATCTTCGGGAGTGTATTCCTTGCTCACAGGTGTTGAACTCTCTTCAATAGACCCTTAGCATCAAAATAGCCCAAAAGCCTTGTTTAATAGGGTCTCTGAACCGAAAAGCCTTAAGATATGAGTCCTGTGAGGGTAAGGGAGACTTTATCACCTGGTGTTGTTCTGCCTAAGATGTTTTCCCATGCTCGAACTGGACCCTAAGGAACCTACCCTTTTAGGGTTCCTCATTATTAAATTATTGATTCCTTTTTTAACCGCTTCAAAAGATAGGTTATCTAGGGTCCCGGGAATCTATAAACTCTAAACCCGAAAGGCCTGAAGCCCTAAAGCTTCCGATTTCTTCTTCGAGGCGCTTGAAGCATAGCGCCTTGTGACCCGAGTTTAGGGTTTAGGGTTTAGGGGTGAGTTATAATTGTATCTTTGCAGTTTGCTGTCACTTCCTACTACTTTTTTTACATGTTTGGGTCTGCAGGTAAAACCTTGTCTTTGCTGAGGTCTACGGCAACTTCTTGGACCACGTCCCGTCGGATAGCACCGACTTTGACTCAACGTGCCTAGACCCCAAACCGTAGCCTAAGGTTAAACCCTAAACCCTGAACCTTTTGGGGCCCAAAGACCATACTATATAAGGCCTTTGGGCTATCTTGAGCCTTAGGGTAATGGTCCCTAGCAGTGGGTATTTTAGGTAAAACGGTGGGTGTGAAGGGTGGTTGTAGGCTTATCCACAACCCTACAACACCTGAACTTTGAACCCCTGCATCCTGCAGTACGCCGGCATCTGACCTCCCGGCTCAGATTTACGGGAAGTGCAACTGTGTCAAAGTGTCGGCCAGCCAGAAGCTCGCGGACCCAACCTCTATACCAGGACCCTCCTTGTGCCCTCAAGCAGGGTGCGTGGCCCCTACTGTTGATGATATAGACCCTGCATCACCTTAAGGACCCCAAACTATTGGAAGTATGGCATATTCCTTTTTATGGGTAATGCAGGACTTATATCATCTTTTACGGTTTAATAGAGGGTACGAGGAGGTCTAGGTACAGCATCTACTAAGCCCTACATCCAGCCAAAGCCGAGAACCGTAAGACCCACTGAAAGCCTCGAAGCCGCAAGCCTTACATGAGTTCTACGATTATAATTCTTCTGGTTTAGGGTCAGGTTACGTTACCAAAATAGGAATCTAGAGTAGACAAGGTGGTTTCTGTATTCTGGTAACTTAAGCTGCACTGTTTTTTTCAAGAGCCCAGGAGTTTTGGGTTTCGGTTCCCTGCAAACCCTAAACCCTAAACCCAGAACCCTAAACCCAAAACTCCTAAGCCCTAAACCCTACACCCTAAACCCTAAAACCCTAAAGCCCTAAACCCTCAACCTTCAACCCTAAACCCTAAACCCCGTTGGCCCAGGTGCGTTTGCTACGGCCTGGGTGGTGCTCCACTGACGGAGGTGCCGGAGGAGCTGCCCCTCAACGAGGATCCCAGCAGCTTTGGGTTTAGGGGTTTAGGGTTTAGGGTTTAGGGTTGGTTGGGTCTTGGGGAATCACAGAGTACAGAGTATAGGGGTCTTGAATACTTGCCCTAAGGCTCTAAGGACTCATATTTTAAGGCTTGGTTAGCCATGGCATCTAGTATCCAGAATATCCATCATATTACCGACTTCAATATTTTCTTTAAAGATTTTCTTCATGCGTTACCCACATAGCATACCCATAGCTCCTATGTCTTTGTGTCAGATTATGCTTCAAACCTCTATTCCACTCGTCAAGGGTCTTCTTTTGGGGTTCAGCAGGACCAAAATCTCAGAGCCTACGCTCTTATAAACACTGCAACCGCCATGGTGTGAAGGTTGGCTTGAAACCCGCAGAACTCCACCCTGGGCAGCCCAGTTGCTGTTCCAGGGTTTGGGAACTTTCTTAACAAAACAAATGGAATAAGAAATATACTTCCCTCCCGAAGGTCTGGTGTACATTTCTTAATTGCACTCCCGATCATCGCCCGTAAAGTAGATCCTGCCCCTGCTGCTGCCCCTGCTGCTGCCCGTGCTGCTG